GATGTATTGATATTAATTAGCTCATTAAGCATGGAATGCTAACTCATGAAAGATTTCTTGAATATTTATACTTTGATTTTTTTATCATAAAAAAGGGGAAGAATATTACTTTAATTTTGATGATAAAAATCCAATTATAAATGTGAGAAGGTTGATTTTAAAATTGTTTAAATTTTATCTTTGGAGATTCAATTAGATTTTCTTTGTTAAGGAAAGGAGCTAATATATTTATTATTAGTAATATATTTCTGAGATTGATTATATTATCTAATCATTGCATAAAATATTTTTCTAAAAGTAATTAAGTTTACTAGTCAAAAGCTTTCCAAAATGCATGTGTACAAAAAGTGTAGAATAAAACAAAAGGGCTTAGAACTTATCAAGGCACCATTTTTAAAAGGCTGTCATATACTAAAAAAAAAAAGTTCCAACACCAAGGAATTTGTGCAAGAACTTTATCATTTACTATTTTTTTATCATAGGGCTTAAGTAGAAAAAAGTTCCAACTCTAAGATAAAATGTCCAGTACTTTTTGATTCGTCAAAACCAACAATCAAGATGGTTTAAAAGGTCCAAACTTATAAAGAGGGTTTGGAACTAACATGTCAAAGGTAAGTTTTGCATTTCATATTTAGTAGGATTCTCCTACAAACTTAAAATAACGACTAGAAACCTTGATTGTGCATTCTTGGAGAATACATATAAACACCATTTAAGGTAAAGGGAGAACAAGAGAGTGCGATCATAAGTCTTGAACAAACACAAGAATCTTCCTCATCAATCTTTGATACTATTTATTTAATCAAGTTGTGATTCTCTTCTTTTTTTTTCTCTTTGATTGTAACAAGTGAGAATGTTGGGTTCTTGTTAGATCTAAGGCCATCCTCAAAGGGAGAAAGGGTTGAGAGATTTCTAATAAGGGATCAAATGATTGATAGCACCTGTAAGCTACAATAAGTTAGTTTCACCAGCACTTTTTGAAACTAGTATTAATAGATTGAATCTTGAGCATAGGAAACTTGGGGATTCAACATAGGCACCGAAAAGGGTGGCAAACTAGGATAAATTGAAGTGTTTGATTTCTTTCTCTCTTATTTTGTGCAATTTATTCATTTGAATTCTTTATTGCTTGTGCTTGTTCATTGCATTGTTTTTGAAAATGTTAAATCCCCATGGTAAAAAGCCCTTTTTAATCCTTTTACTTAAAAAAACCCCTTTTGATCTCTAAAGTTTAAAATTTAACCCTTTTCTAGTCCCTCTATTAAGTTTTGCATACGTGTCATGTTAGATGATGGAAATTCAAAGTAAAGAACCAAAAAAGGCTAAAAATGGGTTAAAAATTGCCTCAATTTGATTCTTTTACTTTGGAAAAAGGCCCCATTTTTTGTCTCTCTTTTAAAATTTCTATCATCTAATATTAGAATTTAGTGAAGGAATTAAAAAAGAGCCAGATTTCAAACTTTAAGGACCAAAAGGGACTTTTTTAAGTAAAGGGACTAAAAAAGCATTTTGCCAATGGGGGGTTTTAACCTTTTTGAAAATACATAAAACTTTTGAAAACCCAATTCACCCCCTCTTGGTTGTCATTATCTGGGGCAACAACTTTTGCCTTAAGAATTAATTCATACAAAAATAGACATCTCAAGCTTTTCAATAAGTATAAGAATGTCCAAAATGGATTTCAAATGATAATGATATGATAATTTAAAACTTAACATATGAAAAAATGCAAAAATGCTTGAAGATCAAAATATAGATCTCTAGATTCAAATTTTGGAACCATAAAGCATGGAAATTTTGGGAGATAGAGAAGATCTAAATATAGAAATAAAGAACCAAATCTTGGAGGGCTATATTAAATTATCAAGTTGCATATTCAATTCTTAGGATGGAGAACAAAATTTGGCCAAGTTTGAGAAATTCATAAAGATCTGAATCTAGGGGGTTAAGATTTGAATCTTGGTCTCTAGATTCAAATCTTTTGACGGCAACAACGGTCATATTTTGAGAACCCATGATTTTGTAGTGTATCCAATGGCTATAAACAACTAATAAAGAATTGTTTTAACCTTGGCTCTATAAATATGGTTGGTAAACATCTTGGGGGAAGACTTAACACATTAAAAAAAATCTATAACAAGACTTGACCTTAGATTTGCAAATCTTTCCAAAAGTTTTGAGCATACACTTGCAAATTAGAACTTAAAAAGATAATATCCTTTGTAATTTTTCTTTTCACTATTTCTTGGTGATCTTGGGAGTGAGTGCATCTTTAAGAAGTGGTACTTGATGGTAAGTGAAGCCTTTAAGAGAGAAACTGTAACATCCCCTTGTTGGTAAACTTGTTGGTTTATCATGTAAGGAAATGTATTGCACTAAATAAAAAAAAAATAGCGAAAATAAATACTCTTCTAATATAAAATGTTTCCTCATGCTAAAAACTTGCTTTCAAATCAATTCAAAATTTTATAGAAAGAAAATCAATTACTTATAAAGAAAAACTAATTTAATACAAAATAATTTAAGAAAAATATCAAAATACTCAAAGTCATAAAATAAACTAAGCTAAACTCATTTTGATTGATTTATAGATTAAATACAGAGAAGCAATTTATACAAAAAATGCATGAGCAAATGCTTTTCAAAAACTTTTCAAAATAATAAAAGCAGAATTATTATTTTGGTAACACATTAATCTGCCTTCACATCAAAAGCCCTTAGGTCCTAACTTCTACGTACAAGGAGCATACGAGACCTATACTGAAAGCTCTTAAGTTGAGCGGCTATTACTCCAATCTACTAATCTGAAATGAGAGGATATATCATGAGTTAAAAGCTTAGTAAGTATTAAGTTAGAGCTACAAACTTGGGCTTTAAAACCCTAAGACCCTTGTAATATCCCAAATTTTTGGGAATTTAATCAATTAAGTTAGGGGACTTATTTTGGGAGAAATATTGTTTTGGGGCCTAATAACTAAAAACTCCAAAGTTGAGAGACTTAAAAGAAAGAAAATGAGATAAGGATCAACTGCTTTTTCTTTTTTTTCTTTCTTACTTTCTTTCCTTCCTCATCAGACCCGCGTGTCTTGCTCTTCTTCTTCCTCCCGACCCCTACAACCCGACAAGCTCCCCAGCTACCGCCACCCATCTCCGACCGGGAACACCGGTAAAGCTTGGAGATTTCTCCTCCTTTTCTTGTTCTAGAACACCTATTAAACCCAGAATTTTCCAGATCTACTCTCTTCCCTCTGCCGCGAGCTCCCTGTAGCTGGGTGGGTGAAATTTTCGGTTATTTGGGTAAGCAACAACCATGGAATTCATCTTTTCTCTCTTAATTTGGCTTGGGTTCACTCTAATTGCTCTTATTTCTTTCCAATTTGGTGTTAGTTCTTCTCCAATTCCCACCAGCCTTTAAACCCGCCAGGCTCGGTTTGGCTTGCCAGAATTCTCTGGTATGAAACAGCTTTTAAAGCTGAATTTTAAGCCATTTAATTATTGCCATGCTGAGTTTTAATGGTTGAATTGCTGCCTTATTGTTGTCCAAATTTTCTGCTGGGAATAGGAGGGGATTCGGCAGTAAATGGGACCATGATTTTACTTAATTCATGTAGGAGTTAGTTTAAGTAGGCTGTTGTGATGTTCTGGAGAGAAAATCCCGTGTGTGTGAGTTGTGGTTTGCCAAAGCCATTCTCTACATGTGCTGCCCGTGAGAAATGGGAAAATTTTATGTGTATTATGCAAATATATAAATGCACAATTGTTTTTGTGCTCGATTTCGTATAGAAAAATGAATAAATAAATAAATATGGTATTATGGGGATTAATGACTGGGAATAATAGAAAAGGATTGAATGTTTAGTTTAATATAATAACAAATTTGGAGATGTCTGGTCATGTGGAGACTGATAGAAAGAGCATCATGATTACGGGGTAATCATGGTGATTTTACTTTCAAATCCGTGGTACGGTAATTAATTCTTGGATATTTTGATTAGATTCCTAATCGTTCTGTCAGTTTAGCATTGAGATCGAGTCTTCGATTTTATGCAAGTGAGGTAAGTAAAGTATGGTAACGTCCTTCGATTTCAAAGCATATTTTAAATTGTTTTTGAGATGATGGCAAGGTTTAAATTGATTTTATTAGCACTGAGCATGATTGGTTTGAAATGAAATTGTTTTCATTTGCATTGAGTAAAGCATACCTATTTGGAATTTATTGAACTACCCTGATGAATTGAGAATTTTGTAAATTCTGATTTTTCCTATTAAATCCATGCTTACATGGAAATTTTTCAGTTTATTTCTGAAATTTGAGATTGATTGTGAATTACGGATTTTTTATAAATCCTATATGGTTTTGTCTTTGATATAGTCATGATTACTGACGCCCGTCAGTGGGAGTTTGCAAACGTTGACACATGTCGACATGTTTACTGATATGACTGGTTCATTCTGTAATCCTGCCAATGGGCGTATACATTGGTAATTACTAACACCTGCCAGTGGGAGTTTGTTAAACACTAGTAATTACTAAGGCCTGCCAGTGGGAGTTGTTAAATACTGGTTATTACTGACGCTTGTCAGTGGGAGTTTGTTAAACACTGGCCATAACTTATAGATGAGACTACTACTGACTTTTCTTCTGCATTAACGGTTTGTCATTGAATGTTTTGCTATTGAACTAAATTTGATTCTGATTCTACATTAACGGTTTATCACTGAACGTTTTGTTATGTTAAACTGTTTATCAGGCATGCTAAAATTTTACCCAATGGCTCTCCATATTTATTTACTGAATTATCTTAAAGTTTTTTCCTTGTTCACCATTTTAGGAAGCAAAGTCAAGGACGGGAAAAAATAAGGGGAGCGGCAAGTTAGAAAGCTAGCCATCTTATAAATTGAACATAGATTTTAAATATATATACCATGCTCTTGTAAGTTAGATTTTAATTGAAAATTTTATGGTATCAAACTGATTTTGTTGAGTAAGTTCCGAGCCTTGTGCACTTGTGGGACCCATCACATGAGTGCACGGCGTCTGTCACATCCCCAGATTTGGGTTTTGGGGCGTGACAACCCTAAAACCCTCATACCTACACATAGACAATTTAAACTAAACCACATAATATTATAAATTTTAGTATTTAAATAGAATTTAATATCACAAAATTATTCATAGTCAATCAAACTTGTCAAGGAATATCCAATGACATATGAATCAAATCCATATCATAAAACCATATGCTCACAAATGTGATGCCATAAGCAATATGCATAAAACAAAAATCATACAATGCTATGGAGTCCACTGATGTGTGTTAGCAACACTTATACCAAAGCTGATCACAACACTTACCTTATTACACATAGATCCACTAAACACCCAAGAGGATCCACTGAATACTCCAAGTTTTAAGTTTAGGTTCACTCACTCCATAGCTACAAACACATACAAATGTCAAATAAATTTAAAACATATTCAAAATAATATACGAATATTATTTCATTTAATATTCTGCCTAGTTAGTGCATTCTAAAAAGATTCACATTAATATCCACATGCATAACTCACAAATTCCACAAGGTTTCTTACTCGAAATAATTAAAATTTAGTTCATGAACAATAATTGAGAAAGAAAAACCAGTTTCCTTCCAAGCTCACAGATTCATGCATAGTCCCAACAAGGTCTAATTAATTACATAAATTCTTATTAAATCATGCAAATACCTTAGAGATCATCACATAAAATATGCAAGAAAAATGACCAAATATAATACAAGAAAACAAACAGAATAAGGAAGGCAGCAATTCATTGTTGTAAGGCTGCCACAATTTTTCATGACCTACATATCCTCTAACTACTAAGCACACCGACTTCATATCGGGAATTTCTTATTATGAATGCTAACAAACCACACAAAAATCAAGCATGAAAACTTATTAGGAAGTGTATCCGTACAAGCTCCAAAAAAATACAAATATTTCTAATGAAATTCTAATGTCCAAAAATCTCCTAAACTAAAGGATTTAGGTCAAATCTCATTAATTTAAATTAATTTTTAGTATATTATAACAATTTTATAACCCCCCAAAACTCTACCCAAATCCATAACTAAAACTTATATTTACTTATGCAAATCAAGCACCAAATTGAAGAAATCAACAGAATTTGGAAGGGAATTTGAAGAAAACACACAGTAAAAGCAACGGTAGCTTCCCTCTTTTACCCTCACAACTTGGACAAATGCAGGGGAATGGGTTTCGGGAGGTTAAGTAAAAAAGAAAAAGGGATTTTGCTTTCTAAAATCTTCTAGAGGAAGCCTCCGGTGACTTGGTTCATAAATTGACACATGTCTTTAAATTTGGCTAATTTAGTTAGATAGTCTCTAACTATCTCAAGATTTCACATAAGGTTCACATATTCTAAATCTAATCAATTTAGTCCCTAAAATTATAAAATAAAAGACTTTAATTTCTAATATATTCGCTAAAGTATATGGGGTTACAGAAACTAAGTTAAGTTTATTAGGGATCTTTATAAAGGGGATTGTTTGAGTGAAAAATACTTTGTAAAAAGATTAGATAGCTGATTCAAGCTACTATTGATAACTAGTAAAGTGTGAGATGAAAATCTTTGGTGACTGAAGCCAAGATAAAGGACAAGGTGCCAAGTGATTAGGTGAAACCTTTATAAAATTGATTGTGCAATCTCTTCTTTCCTTCTCCCTTTGCTTTACATTTGGTGGTTGACAAAAAGAGGAAAATCTTGAAGACTCCAATTCACTTGACCTCTTGGAGTGTTTGAGCCAACATTCATAATGTCAAAGTACATGTCTTCACATAAAATAATGACGATCTTAAGTCAAAAGAGCACTTGCAGTCGCATTATGCTGAAAAGCTATTAATAACACACACATTTAGTGTTCTCGTGGTGAGTTAGTTTAGTGCACGCACTCTTTTTGAATCACCCTGTAACATCCCCTTCTCGATAAACTTTGATTTATCAAGTAGGGAAATGTATTACACAAAATTAAAATATATATATATATCTATAGAAAAATATTACAACGAAAGTACAAACTCTTCTAATATAAAATGTTTCTTTATGAGAAAACCAGCTTTCAAATTAATTTATGACATTATAGAAAGAAAATCAATTACCTATAAAGGAAAATTAATTTAATAGAAAATATCTTAAGGAAAATATCAAAACACTCAATTGTAAAATAAACTAGGCTAAGCCTATTTTTCACTGATTTATAGATTAAATACATAAAAGTAATTTACTCTAAAAATACATAAGCAAATGCTTTTCGAAAACTTTTCAAAATAATAAAAATAGAATTATCGTTTTGGTAATACATTAATCTGCCTTCACATCAAAAGCCCTAAAAGTCTTGCTTCTATGTACAAGAAGCATACGAGACCTATATCGAAAGCTCTTAAGCTGAGCAACTACTACTCCAATCTATTGATATGAAATTGAGGGAAATATTATGAGCTAAAAACTCAGTAAATATTAAGTTTAAGTTACAAACTTGGATCCTAAGACCCTTAAACCTACACACATGGGGAATATAATAAACAATAAAACCAATCCAAATACTATTATAAATCTTAGTATTTAAATAATAACTTACTATCACAAGTTATTCACAGTTAAACAAACATGTTAAGAAATGTTTAATGACATTTGAATCAAATCCATATAGTAAAATCTTATACTCACAAATATGATGTCACAAGCATAATACATAAAACAAAAATCACACAATGCTATGGAGTCCACTAATGTGTGCTAACAACACTTGTACCAGAACTAATCACAATACTCACCCTACTACGTAGAGGTCCACTAAATACCCCAGAAAGTTCACTGAATACTCCAAGCTTTAAGTTTAGATCCACTTACTCCATAACTACAAACATATACAAATGTCAAATAAATTCAGAGTACATTCAAAATAATATAGGAATATTATTTCATTTAATATTCTACCTAGTCAGTGCATTCTAAAAAGATTCACATAATATCTACATGCATAATTCACATATTCCATAAGATTTCCTACTCAAAATAATTAAAATTTAGTGCACGAATAGTAATTGAGAAAGAAAACCAGCTCTCTCCCAAGTCCACGCACAATATAAGCAACTCTAATTAACCATACAGATTCTCATTCAATCTTGCAAATAACCAAGAGATCATCATGCGAAATATACAAGGAAAATGACCAAATATAATACAAGAAAACAAACTGAATAAGAAAGGCATCAATTTATTGCTGTAAGGCTACCACAATCTTGCATGACCTACATATTTTCTAACTATTAAGCACACTGACTTCATGTTGGGAATTTCTTACCACGAATGCTAACAAACCACACTAAAAACAAGCATGAAAACAAATAAAACTTTTAGGAAGTATATCCCATAAGCCCAAAAAAAAACAGATATTTGAAATGAAATTTTAATGCCCAAAAATCTCATAAACTAAAGGAATTGGGTCAAATCTCACCAATTTAAACTAAATTCTAATATATTGTAACAAATCTATAAAAAGTTTATAACTAAAACTCATACTTACCTGAACATCAAAGCACTGAATTGAAGAGAACGGTAGGAATTAATAGCAGAACTTGAAGAAGAAAGTCAAACAGTCCGCTCCAGATCTACAAAAGTCTCCTCTCTTTGGTGGAAGCTCAAAAGGGTAAAGAGAATTGGGTATCTGGGTGTTTAAGGAAAAAAGAGGTTTTATTTTATTTTTTTTTATTCTAAAATCTTCTAGAAGAAGCACGGTTTCTCCATAAAGCTTTCCTAATTCAAGACAACACACTTGCTTGTCATGTTGCCACATGTCTCCAAACTTGGTTAATTTAATTAGATAATCTATAACTCTTTCAAGATTTCACATAAGGTTCCTATATTCTAATTCTAATCAATTTAGTCCCTAAAATGTTAAAATAAAAGAATTTTAATTTCTAATTTATTTACTAAAGTATATGAGGTGTTACACACCCACATGTAATACATTACTTCATGAGAAGAAATTTTGTCACCTAACAAAGCATCACACATAATATTCTTTATATTACTAATGTCTTAACTTCATGATATGTGTGACTATTGGACAATTTAAGAATGTTACTATTGCATCAACAATTCTCACTAATAATGATGGCTGTTATTACCTTTTGATGCAGTAGACATCTTAATGATTTTTTAATATTTAATGTACATAGGAAAATAACAATTAATATTGTCACATCCCAACCCATAAGTTTGGGCATAACAAATGCCATACATCTATAGGGTAACCCCATAAATGTGTAAGGCCAACTACTAGCATATCAATATAATCTCCCATAAAGTTCTAATGTAGCCTGTCAACTTAGAAATAAATAATTCCATTAACAAATCTTAATAGTCTCCAAATAACAAGATCAAATCTCTTAATCAAAACATAAAACGATTAACATCTTATTCCATAAAACCAAATAAACTTCCAATTGAACTATTGCTAAATTTCTACCAATTTACTCTAACGATCTCTTAATCCTCATGCAAAACCCAATGCTCACACTTCTTCACCTAAAATGAGATGAAATTTGAAAACGTGAGTTTAAGAACTCCGTAAGTAATATACCCATCTATCACAACCAAGCATAAAAATTTAAAACTGAATTTTTATTGAAAAAGAAACAATTAAAAAAAATACAATTCTTTTCTCAAAACCGGAATATTTCATTTTTCGTTCCTTATGGCTGTGTAACAATCCACAATCCATGATCAATGATACTCAATCATCAATCCACAATACACGATCCATAATCCACAATCCATAATTCACAATCCACGATCCATAGATCCTAAGTCTATCACAATTCCAACAACTCAACCCTCACAATGGTGAATCATACAGTCAGGACAAACAAAAGAAACCATTCAAAAAAAAAAAATAACCATTTCAATAATATTGGAGAAAAACAAATTTAAATTAGCTACCTCCATGTGACCACAGTTTCATCTCAAATTTAAATAAAAATATGATACTTGGTCCACAATTCATCTTATTCCATCATTAAAACATTTTAGTAATAATCATTCTCCAAAAAATATATATATATAAATCAAAATTGGACAAAAAAACCCATTTAAATCTATCAAATTACTTTAAAAATACTGGAGGGTATAGCTACTTAACTCAATAATTATCTTTCAATTGCAACTACCACACAGTTGCTCAAAACCTAAATAAACATCAAAATAAACATAATTCAATCACTAGGTAAAGTTTATCACGTACTTATCAGGCACCTATTGAAATAATTCTATAACCCATGCCACTAAAATACTCTCTTTAAATCCAACCATTCCCAACACACACTATTAGAAATTAACCACCTTAATAAATAATTCCCCCCTTGAAAATTCCTCACGCCACCTAAATTCACAATTCCAAAACCAAGAGTAAAATCAATTTTTCAACTCATTCATCTACCCATTCTCTTCATTCCAAATTCCTAAATATTTCAAGTTTTAGAAGGCAATTTACCTTGGATTTTAGTCTAGTATGGTAGATCCCTAGAGCAATTACCCCCTGCTAGCGAGAGGAAGAAGACGATCCTGCTTCCAGAAAAGAACGCAAAAATTGAAACTGCCGAAACTTGAATCTCTTTTGGGTTTTTCACAAAAGGGAAAATTGCTACTTAGTCCCTAAGCTTTAACTATGAGGTTTAGTCCTTGAGTTCCTCACCTCATTATAATTTTAACCCCAAATTTATTTCTATCACATGTACATCCTTTAAGGGCTCAAATAATTTATTTAAATCTTAAGTAAGAAATCCTTGTGTATTATAAATATTCAATAAAGAATGCCATAAATATGATGAGCATAATCACGAGTACATAAGATTTCTTACCAACTTCATTGGCTTGTAGGGCATACTCTAACAATCTCTTACTTACACTACAACCAACTATTAACATATTTAACCTTGCTACCTCTCACATGTATAACATACTTTTGTTGAGTTATGACTTTAGTTAGTGGGTCTGTGACATTATTCTTTGTTGCAATTCTGCTAGTCATAAGGTCACCTCTTTTCATAAAGCTTATTAGAAAGTGGTGTATTTCTAAGTATATGCCTTGTCCCCTAATAATATTGTGATTCCTTGGCTAGTGCTATGGCTTGCGATGTTATCACAACAATTGTACCAACAATGCTAGCACAATGCCAAGTTTAGATATAAACTTGTGGATCAAACTACTTTCTTAACTGCCTTGAAAGCTGCAATAAACTCAGACTCTACTGTAAAATCTGCAACAACATCTTACATTGAGTTATACTAGCTCATTGTGCCTATATTAGGGTGAAACTCAAGGCCATTTTGCCATCTTTTGATCATCACATTCTCTTGAGAAGCTAGTATTTGTGTAAACCCTCACTACTAGCTCCTGTTTTCTCCAATGAAAAAGTATACTCATCATGCTCCAAGCATAAGAGACTTTAAATTTTGTACAAAGTATAGCAAACATAATAGATCCTATTGCATATAGGATCTTACACTCCTTGACTTCTCGTCTTGTGTTTGTCAACACATCTTCAAGAAGAGATGTTTGCCATGTGATATAGGTTTCAATACTCTCTTAGATTGTTTCAAGCTAAATTGCTTGAATACCTTGTTGATGTACATGCTTTGACTTAGTTTTAGCAACCTCTAAGATCTATCTCTTTAAATCTTTATCCCTAGAATATAGGTTGTTTCACTTAAGTTGTTCATGGAGAAGCACTTGCCTAGCTTACTAGTAGTATGATATTTCCCTAAAGTGTTGTTTACTAAAGATAAATTCTGAAGATATTAAAATCCACAATAATATATTAAAATGAATAAACACAATAAATAAATAAAAATACCCTACATGAATATCTCAAAACAACAAGAATCAATTACTACCATCAACCATGTAATCTAATGATAGAGTTACCATACTCTTAGCCATTGGTCTTGGGTTCAATCCCTAGTTTCTACAAACCAAAAAAAGAATCAGTTACTACTCAATGGACTTATGGATCTAGTTTAATAATCCTAGATGTATGGAGATTTAGCTAAACGCATTTTAATTAAATTAAACAACTTAGGTGAAAAGGACAGTAAAATAAAATTAATTCCAGCAAAGAGGAGAAACCAACAAAGTAATTAGACTTAGGTAGAGGTACAAAATGGAAAAATAAAAATCTCTTTTTATTCTAACGAAAATATGACATGTAGCGTAATAAGTGGAGGTAGAATGGGTAAAAGAAAACAGATTAGCTTTATGAAATTACTGTATTAACACCAAGCAAAAACTAGACATAATAATAAATAGAGGACTAATCCTTGGAAAATGTAAGCAAGAACCAACAATATAGAGGAATAAAATAAAATGAAGATTTTGTTGCTATTAAAGAAAATAAAACTTGACTGGTAAAATAAAATAAACTTAAAAGAAATCCAGTCCTTTTCCTCCACTCACTTCAGTGAGAGCTATCGGCCTCCTCTTACAATACTTCTCAATTTATATCCAATAGATGTAGCCCTAGTTCTTGATTAATGAGGAAAAAAATTTTAAACAAAACTAAAAAAATTCTCTTTAAAATAATTAACGGAGGGCCTCACATGTTTCCATTGCAACGCACTTCAGAAAGTGGGAAGAAATCAATTCTTGCTTCAAATGGCCAAAAACTAGTTTGAAGCTCAACTTTCTAAATTTTGATGATTTGGTCCCCAGATTCTTTAATCTTCAACTTAATCGATTGAATCTTCAAATTGTGATTGAGACCTTTTAGTTTTTGACACTAACATTCCTCTTTCTTTTATCATCCCATTACCCGCAACTGTAGCAATTTAACGCTCATTTTCTGCAAAATTTAACTAACAATACCTATGGAAGCCGTTATCTATATACAAAATAAGATAAATAAGGAAAATAAAAAGCATAAAAATGATAATGATCAATACCAATTGGAAAGATAAAGACACAATGTAAAGAAATGTGATATTTCTATTATTTTCTTTGCACTTCTATTACAAGTCCTTTATCTAGAGGCCAAATTGGTGTTAAAGGTTAAAGGATTAAACACGCATTAAGTGAGAGGTTATAAAGATTAATTACTCATTGAGTGAAGGATTATAAAATAAGACTATCACTATTTTTTTTAGTACATCATGCGTAAAAATAAAATTAGAAACTAAGGTCGGAAGAAGGTAGCTCCAATGAGTCCCTTATGAAGATGAAGCGCATCCATTAGGTGGAGAGTAAAAAAGGATTTGTCTAATTTGTGCCTTTAATTGTATTTTTTTGTAATTTATTTATATAGAAAAAATAAAAGTTGACTTTAAATTTATCAATTACCCAATTAAAATCATCAAGTGGTATTGATATTAAAATTAATATCTAATTTTTTGTTTTTCTATAAAAAGTTATTACAAAATATTCTATTTAATATACTTTAACTTGTGTACCAATTTTATAGATTCAATAAAAAGCAATTAACCCTAGGGGTAAAAGTGAGCTAGTACGACTAGAAAATTTGCTAAGTATTTCCTTTACACAAGGTGTGTTGCAGTGGACAGGATTCACATTCATCCATCGAAGCCTTGATGTTATTTTATCACAATTGTAATTGTATGGAAGAGGTGGAAAGAGAAAATTAACAAAGAAATAAATTTCATTCATAATAGTTTGGGAATTTCATAACCCAAATTAAATTAAAAAAAAAAAAACCTACTTTTT